TGAGGTGATGTCAAACACAGGGATGGGGATATGTTTCAAACTGGTAAGATTTATCCCCCTGATGGGAGTACAGGCTGCTCTCTTCGGGCTTAGAGGGGCACATCCCCGGCTGAGGTGGTGAGACGGTGGGGCTCGAGATGTGGATGGGGGTGGGGATGGGGATCGGTGAAACGATACTGCGACCCCCCCGCACTGCCCGCCCACCAACCCACCCACGTCAGCTGTGGCCCTGGCGCCGGCCCGGCTGCAGGGCAGGTACGGTCGGACCTGGGGCAGAAGAGCATCCTTCAAGAACACGGGACCCTCCGAAAGCCAAGACGCCCCAAACAATACGACCCCTCGAAAGTAGCCTCTCCCAGGATGCACGAGAACATCCAACAAACACGAAGAACAATGTGGTGCCCTCCCCGAACCGACCTCGATATTATACCCGGTCCGACCTTATATAGCTATCGGGGCCAGACACGTGGGCGAGGAGGAAGAGGAGGAGTACAAGCCTAAACCCAAGACGCATTAACGATGGTGCGATAGACCTAACCTCGAATTCTTTCTTCGGAGGTCCCTACAGACAAAACATTGCGAGAAGTTCTCCATTGAAAGACATCCGTCTGAGAGTCCAAAATCGTGCCAAATCACCATTGCTTGGACGTCAGCGCCGCGAATCGACGGGACTGTTGCGTCCTGACAATCCTAAGCCGTGCCCGAACACTATTCCTAGGCCTTCACGACTACGAATGCGTCAAACTGTACGAATGGTTACAACCAGTGCGCGCGGCGCTCAGGCAAGAACCACGCTCTGAACAGACACCAGTCTCTATCTTTGAAACGGATGCGATGATTGTTTCTCACATAAAACGAATGTGTGCGGCACCAAAGCGAGAGCCACGTAGTGAGAAGGACCCGCCCTCCATCCTTGAACGGTTGCCAATGTTTGAGACGAATGTGCGCGGCGCTAAGGCGAGAGCCACATGTTGAAAAGGACTCGACTTCCATCCTTGAAACTGTTGTGAAAATTAAAAACGAATGTGCGCGGCGTTAAGGCGACAGCCACATATTGAAAACCACCCTCCCTTCAGGACCATACGCAAATGAGGATCATACGTAAATGGTGCGGAAGTCTCAAACGAAACGCCCAGCCCGCACTGCCAACACGTTTGAGGGTGCGACAGGGGGCAGTTATCCAAAAGGGAGGAGGAAGAAGGAGGAGAAGCGGGAAGGAGGGAGGGAGGGAAGAGGGAGGAGCAAGAAGGAGGGGGAGGACAGGAGGAAGGCGGAGGAGGAGAGAGGTGTCCGTCACACACTGCGGAGCCTGTTCCCCCCACCCCCACCTAACTCCCATAGGCCCTACGCCCCAGAAGAACGCAGCAGAGCTTCGTGGGGAGCACCACCCGAAGGCCCGAAAGCCTCGAGGACGCAGCGGGGCCCTGCATGGGTGTAAACAGCAGCGTCGGGATAGAGAGAGTCACGGCCTGCTGCACGTGATGCTGTGGAAAGAGGAGGAGGATCGGCGGTGGACAAACCTACCTTTCGTAAACCTCCATTCAGTGAAAACGGCCTGGGACCGAGACCGACGGACCTGGACCCGCAAAAGTGACGGCCGCGACGCCCTCTCGTGAACCGAAAACGGCCAATTCCACAATCGACGTGTCAGGGTAGGAGGTCTATCAACCTCCGAGAGGAGGAGGAGGAGGAGGAGGAGGAGCAGCAGCAGCAGTGACAGCAGCAGAAGGCTGGGCAAGGTGAAGCACTCGCAGGGTCTGCAGTCGTCCTGCCTGTGTTGGGAGTGCCCTCTGCCTGCCTTGGGAGGAACTGGAGGGCGAGACCCGGACGAGGAGAGCGAGGAGAGCGAGAATGAGGATGACGACTCTATCAGTCTCGGGGCTTCGGCTTCTGCCCCGCGGCAGCGGAGCGACCCGGCGCAGCCCCCTGGCTAGTGGACGATCTTGACCAGGGAGGGGTCGTGGAGGAAGCTCATCCTGTCCGCGGAGGTGACCTTCGGGTGCAGGGCGAAGAATGCCTGATGCAGCTGGAAATTGTAGGCGACGCTCAGGTGCCTCCAGTCGCTGGCGTAGTACCTCGAGAGGTAGTCCTGCTCGGGGCCGTTTCCCGCAATGTGCTCCGGGTGGTGCTCGTCGCACACCTCCAGCAGCATCTGCGCAAGCACGTCCGCGTCTGGCTGCAGCAGCATCACGCCAGCGTTGATGCCGCAGCCCTGGCCCCAGGAGTAGCCGTCGTCGCGGGCGCCCGAGAAGAAATAGCCGCCCGCAACGCGGTCCCCGTGCTTATAGCCCACCTCAGGGCCCCGCACCATCGCCATGGGCGCCTCCATGTCGAAGAGGTGGTCTATGTTGTCTTGGACAAGCAGGTCTATGTCCATAAGGAGGATCTTCCTGTACTGCACGAATCCGAGGACCCGCAGCTTCGTGAAGACCTTTCCGAAGCGGCCCGCGTTGGCACCTTCCGTGCCCAAGGTCTTCGCCGACGCCACATAGTCAATCTCCTGCGAGGGGGGGGCGACAGGGGGGGGCGTCAGGGGGGGACTGGCAAAGGGGGGGGAACATCGAGCTAGAATCGGCGATGCATCAATGATAGATCGGCGATAGGCCCTCGATAGCGAAACCGCATGTTCCTGGGCGGTGTGGGCTGTCAGGTCCCTATCGGCGATGAATCGGCGATTGGGGGTCGATGCTTCCCCTCCTGAGCCAGTCCGCCTCAATGGTGTTTATCGACTGGCTTTCGGGTCAAATCTGATTTCTGGCGGCCGTTCGGAACGACTTGGGCACATCTGGGCGCCGATCGGCAAGGCGCAGCTACTGAAACGCATCCCGAGGCAGGCAAACCTCCCAGAATGGGCGAAAAACGTCCGAAAAACTGTGAGATGATGCCCACCCAACGTTGCCCCTGCTCCTGAGGCATCCACCCGGCTCGCCTGAGAAGCTCCAGCGCTGGCGCCGACACGTCGCTGGTGTGGGCCACCACCATGTCGTGTCGCGTGCCCGTGCGGCGCAGCGACTGCCCCAGCACCATGGCCCCGAGCACGTACTCCGGGCTTGTGCCCCAGAGGGCGATCACGTAGGCATGGCCGGAAGAAGACAGAGCAACATAAACCTGAGTTTTCGGAAGCCCGCGCACATTTCCTGAATCTGCGCTGGACTCCGTCCCTGGCGTGCAGAGCACGCCAAGCGCGGCGCCTGAAGCGCCGCCAGGAGGGGGCCAGCGCCGATCCGAGAAGTCGGCGCGGACCTTCGGATGATCTTGCGTGTGCCACGCTCTGTCTTCTTGGGATAGCGCGCGCTCTGCTCCGCCTCGTGGCCAGCGCGGCAGCTGCGTTTCGGGAGCGGCTGCGCCGGCTCCGCCAGGGTGATAGCCGATAACCCTCAGAACGTGCGTTAGCGCCAACGTGTGCATGTTCATCGAAGCCCTTTAGTACGGCGCAGGCTGTGCAATGATTTACCCGGGAGCCAGACGGAATGAACACACCTTGGCCTAAGATTTTTTGGCCGGCGGCCGCACGGGATCAGACGGCGGTCTAGCAGCGGCGGGGCGCGCTGGTGCGAAATGAAGCACGAGGGGACTGGGAAGGAACGCGCGGGCGCGAGGAAGGCCAGGGGGAGAGCCCCGAGAGGAGAAGGCCACGCTCAGACCATGCAGGCAGTCGCGTGCGTGCTAAGGTGCTGCAGCAAGGGGACATCGATCAACCTGCAAGGTGCTGCAGCAAGGGCTGCAGCAAGGTGCTGCAAGGGCATTCGCGTGTTGCCAAGGTGCTGCAGCGCGGGCGCTGCACCCAGGGCTGACACACGTCCTTAGGATCATCGTTATGGACAGGGGGCGCTTGCAGACGGAGCAGAAGCCGTCCCAGGCAGGCCCGCCGTCGCCTCCCTCCAGCGCCGCGCGGGGCTCGGCGAAGCGCACCAGGGAGCCGCTCAGCCCGTGGGCACCCCTGCCGCCAGCGATGCGAAGCCGGACCTCAGGGGGCGTCCAGGAAAAGCAAGACTCCTGTGTTATGTCGGGCCTGTCTCCCTACAGGGGGATTTTCGACGAAAAATAAAAAAATACCTTAAAAATCATCAAAAAATAGTCCAAAAATAGTTCACGGACTATTCTTTACTATGTTTGGACCTTTTTCGGGTATTTTTGGAGTATTTTTAATTTTTCGTCGAAGATCCCCCTGTAGGGGGGCAGGCCCGGCTTAACTCCTGTGGCAGCTCATTGAGCCTCCCGTGCCATCCTGCTGGCCCATTGCGACTTGACGCTCACCGACGCTCGTCGACGCTACCAAAAGCGACGCTGCAGTCTACGCTGCACTGGAGCTTCCTCACCCACGACCAGCCGCCAGCGCATGCTAACAGTTTTTCTAGCGCGAACATGCAAGGCTCCCATGGGATCTCACCGAATAAGCCGAAGGCGGCATGAGGATACACTCGGAGGAGGATCTCGGTCGCACAACCTCGCACATCGTGCCCCGCGATGCGCGGCGCCGGCTACCTTCGCGCCCTCGCGCCGCCGCCCTGGAGAAAGGAGCAGGCCACGATGCGCGAAGCGCGGTGACTTCGCGCCCCCCTGGGGGGAACCTGCAGGTCCGAGGACAGACCCGGAGCCTCTGGAGCCCGCGGGCCTGGAGGCTGCCTCGAGCGCCGCGGCCAGGCCCTCAGAACGCTCTCCGGAGCGCTCCGAGGGCGGTCCAGAACGCTCTGGAGCGACCTCTCCTCCTACCCCCTCCTCCTCCTCCTCCTCCTCCTCCTCCTCCTCCTCCTCCTCCTCCTCCTCCTCCTCCTCCTCCTCCTCCTCCTCCTCCTCCTCCTCCTCCTCGGGCCGCCCGAAGAGCACCGAGCACGAGCGGCGTGCGCGTGCACGGCTCACGCGGCCTCGCGGCCCCGGCCTCCCGGGCGCGATGCCGCGGGGGAGAGCGATCCCCGTGGGCGCGCCCCGCGGGCGGGGCGCCCGCGCAGGGCCGCCCGGAAGCCGCGGGGTCGCGGCCGAGGAGTCCAGGCCGCGAGGCCGCGGATGTGGACACGTTTCCCGCCCACGAATCGAGGGAGGAGGAGGAGGAGGAGGAGGAGGAGGAGGAGGAGGAGGAGGAGGAGGAGGAGAAGGAGAGCTCGAGGGAGGAAACTCGGCGGGTTCTGCCTCCTGTTGAGGCTGCTGTGCGGCTCTCTCGTGGTCGCGGCAGGATGGTGCCCAGGAGGGGTTCGGAGACCGATCGTCGACGCGCGCGAGAAGAAGACCCCAGACCTCCCTCGCCACGATGAAAAGCGGAGCAGCGTGTCATGTAAGGTTCTGGCATCCTGTGGCTGATTCTGGCCCCAGGTACCATCAACAACCCAACAGGGACAAGAAGGTCCTGGTGATTGTCGTCGTGGTGTTAGCGCTCAACGTGTGCTTGTCCACCGGAGCCCTTCAATGCGACGCAGGGCGCGCAATGAGAGCTGGCACGGGCTGCGTACCACAAGTCGACGGCAATGGCCTCGCTTACAGGGCGCCCACACTGACGCGCACTCGCCAGAACTGCAGGACGCTGACACCTAAAATCCGTAGTTGTGGGGCCTGGGGTCGGTTTCCCGCTGCTCCGTAACGCGCACGTTGGGCCATCACACGTCCTGGGGACCACTGCGACGGAGCCCGGGGGAGTCCCCGCCGACGGGCGCCGCTGCAGGACGGAGGCGAGGCCGGCACGGACCGGCAGCAGAGCGCGAGTGGTGCGCCTGCAGGGCAGCATCTCCCGAGGGCCTCCCGGAGGAAACGAGATGGCACCGATGCCGCGGCCTCTTCTGGGGCGCGTGCTCACCAGGACTCTGGGGCGGATCCAGCAGTGCCACCGAGGAGCCGCGCGAGGGCTGGTCGAGCGCCGTGGTTCTGGCGCGGCTCCCCGGTGACGCTCAGCGAGGGGAAGCTCGCTCGGCGTGTTGGTCCGAGCCATGACCTCCGAGCTGCCATCGGAGAGACCTTTCAGATACTCGCAGAGGTCTGGAGGGTCTCTCGCGCTGTGCTAGCGAGCTGGGGCTCCGGCTCGCACAGCGAGGGCGTGCTCCTCCCCGACCGCGCCTCCCGACACGGACCCGCGGATTAAAAAACGGCTTCAGAGAGAGAGCACGGCGCAGTAGGGCCCAGTACAATGCGCATAAGCACGGCAAGTACACACGTTTGCGTCGGCGGCTAGGCAGAGTGACTGCGCTGGCGATGAGCATTGGCAGGGCATACGAATGCGAATTAAGCCGCAATGCACGGGGAAGAAAGGAGGAACGCCCGCAAGCACGGCAAGCACACACCCCACCTGGTGGTCAGCGATGCCCCCGTTCTTGTCGGAGACACACGGCCGCATCTGGTCCGCCTCGCGTCCTGATGCGGCAGATTTTAAAGCTTATGAGAGGAGGGGATGGAAGAGGAAAGGTGAAGGGAGGAGGGAGGGGGCTGGAGGATCGAGGTTCGAGGTCTGAGGTTCGCTGTGCGAAGTTCGGTGATCGAGGACCAAAGATGTTGCAGCCCTTCTTGGGCATACGGAAAAATCAGGACATGCGAGGAGGGAAAAGGGGGGAATTCAAAGTGGAGGGCGAAGGAAAGACAGAGCGCGGAGAAGAGAGAAGGGAGGGAGCAAGGCCAACTGATTAAGGAGGTTCCTCCTCTTCCCTCCTGCCCTCTCCTGACTCGCGAATCACTTCCTCATGCCTCCTGCTCCTCCGATTATCCTCCTCACCATTCCTGCTCCTCCCCTCTTCGACCTTCTGGTGGGCCGCATCTTGATCCCTCTCCCGTCATCCCATGTCCTTCCCCTCTTCGTCCTCCTCCTGCTCCTGCTCCTCTTTCTAGTCGCCATCCGCATCCTTTCCTGTCTGCTATTCGCAGAACCTGGATCAGATTCTTGGTGGCCGTGTGAGCATGCAACACGCGATGCTCTTCAAGACCAGGGTCGCATCCTCCTCGACCCTCATCTCTCCTCCTCATCATCCTCATCCACAGCCACCTCCTCCTCCTCCTCCTCCTCCTCCTCCATATCCTCCTCCTCCTTCTCGTCCTCGTCCTCGTCCTCGTCGTCTTCATAAGCATCATCACCATCATCACCATCACCATCATCATCATCATCATCATCATCATCATCATCATCATCATCATCATCATCATCATCATCATGATCAGCATCATCATCATCATCATCATCATCATTAACATCATGAGTAGCAGCAGCATGTTATTATTCTCCATCATCACCATCATCATCACAATCGTCATCATCATCATCAGCAGCAGCATCAGCAGCATCATCATTATCAGCAGCAGTAGCATCATCACAATCATCATCACCATCATCGTCACCGGCGTCATCATCATCATCATCATCATCATCATCATCATCATTATCATCATCATGAGCATCGTCGTCGTCATCATCATCGTCGTAAACATCCGCATCATCAGCAGCAGCATCATCATCACCATCAGCAGCATCAGCATGATCAGCATCATCGACACCATCAGCATCATCAACATGAACATCAACACCAGCAT